GCTTCCAGCTGCTGCTGCTGCATTCGTTGTTCCTTTATCATGAGCCGAACTCTGCCGAGCGCCACCCAATGAGACCTTGGCAGCAGCAGCTTCCTTCCGTGCTGGCGCCCGTCCATCAGTCATGTTTTCTGGAATCCGTTGCTGATCGTCCTGCTCCGCCTCTTGATGTTTTTTCTCTTGTAAATGCTGTTTCAACAGCTCTTGCTGATGCAGGAGCGCCGGCACAACCCGCAGCAGAGTGTTTGGGGGCAGCTGAAGCAGCTGCAGCACCAATGGAGCTTCCAAGGGGCACGCCTGCAGCAGAATCAATAACAATGGCAAAAGCAGCAGCACTTGGCAGCGACGTATGGCTCCCATCCACACGTTCCGGCACAGTCTGGCAGCACCAGGAGCCCCTGCAACAGCCAAGCATAAATGCTACAAGCGCAAGCAGCAGGGAGACCAACAGTGGCAGCGGCGAGACCAGCAACGAATATTCCGTCAGCAGCAGCCTCTGCAGGACCAGAACCTGCAGCAACAAGGCTTCTAGTAGCAGTGACTGCAAGAGCAGCAGCAGTTACGACGTCCGCGTCTTACGAGGTTGCTGCTGGACTGAACTGTTCGCGCAGCGGAGGCGAGCGTCTGGAGGGAACGGCAACAAAGATCCATCTTGTCCCTGACTCCCATGAAGTCAACGACAACAGATTGCGCTAATGAAACACCGTCTGAATTTGTTGCAACTGTTGCTGTTGGGGCTGCCGCTGCTGCTGCCATAGGAGCCACGTATGATATGCGGGCCTGAGGATGCATGTCATACAGGAGCTCACTAAAAGCTTACTGCCGCTACAGCTATCAAAGCAACACTATGCACAGACAGAAAAAAACTGTTGGCAAAAGCGTTGGCCACAGCAGCTGAAACGGCAGCAGGAGCAACAGGAGCAAGACCTTTGCAGCTTTCTTGGATCGCTCTGTTGAGGTCCAACAGACAAGAGGGAACTGCAGCGAAACCTCCCAGAAAATTTTGTTACCACTTCCATCCTTCTCTTCTCCTCCGTTGCTGCAGCTGCTGTTGCTGCTGATCTTCTGCGAAGCAAAAAGGAATCGCTTAGCAGTCAGCACTACAACCCCCTGATTGCCTAGCACAGTGACTGGCTCAAATCTCCAACAGCAGGCCTCTTGCTGTGGAGGCCTCTGCAGCTCCTCGCACTGAGTCTGATGCTCTGCCATTGTTGGGAACAATCAGCATGCCTCAGCAATAATGCCCTCGCTGCTGCTGCCAAGCTGTGGCAGTTGTTCCGTTGACTGCTGCACCTGTGAGCACCGTGTTCATGAAGGGAAAATAAAAAATGCTGCACCTTTATGCTACTGGAGATGACGTTAGCGGTGTTGCAGTCGTTGGCCGCTCTGGTGGTGTCGATGTTGCTGCGGGTGTTCGTTCAGCTCTTGCCAGTGGTGTTGTGATATTTGCTGCTCCTTGACCCAAGTTTTGTAGCAGTCAGCTGCAGAGGTATCTGTAGTAGGGTATAGCTAGTGGAAACACAAGACGTGGTTCCGAGCCTCCACTACAGCTCCAACTGCCCGAAGCCTCATGACGTATATCACTTCTTTACACAAGCTCCTGCAGAAAGCCGCTCATAGATTGTGTCGCAGTTTGGTTCTGCTGCTGCTATTGCTGATGCGGCTAAGATTTTCTCTTAGTATAGGGCAGTACGGATACTTTAGAAGACCGCGGGGCCTACTGGGGCCCCCTTGGCTGGTGCTCCAACTGTAAGTATGCAACCAAGCTGTCCCTTTACGGCTTTTAAAAGTTGTTCCGCGCTAATTAATACATAAATCAGCCAACAAAAATATTAAAAGAGCTCTCATAAACGCATGATGTGAGCACAACGGAGCCGAGCTGTGTCAGAGCCATGGGGTGCCGATTTTCCTCCGAGTTATCGGTATGCATCAATGCAGAAGTGTAGAGGAGGCTACCCGATAAGTTCAAAAGGCTCTAAGGAAAAACAGCAGCTCTGTCACCAGCGGCTTCCATGGCTCCGCTGGAGCTGCGGCAATGGCGGCTCGCCGAGCAGCAGCAACAGACGAAGCGCCAGCATCCAAACAAGCTTCTGCAGCGACCATTTGCTTTTCGCTTGCCCGCAGGAGCCTGTGGTGTCACAGTGGCAGCGACTGTTGTCCGGCCACACTACGACGCGAAGTGCTCCGCAGTTCCCAAAGCAATATGGACCATCAAGAGGAAAATAAGAGCAGCACCAACGGCAGCATTCGCGGTGTGATAGGCAGCAGTAGGGGCGTTGTTTGCCTTTTTCTGGCGGAGAAATTTTCTACCTGTTCCATTGTTCTATCCCTATTTTGCTGCTCCCGCTGCTGTTCGCGTGGCTTCGGCAGGCCCCCCTCCACAGCTTTTTACATGCGCTCTCTCCTTTCACCAGACCAAGCAGCAGAAGCAGCATCAACAGCAGCAGTAGCACCAGCATAAGGTGCTGCTGCTATTGCGGAAATGCAGGAGATTTGCGTGCCCGTGGCTCCTCGCTGCATCAGTGTTGTGAGGGGCCCACAGGCCTTTTACTCGGCTGTGCTGGCCTTAGTTGGCTTGGCTAGCCGTCGACTGCTACTGTCGGCTCTTTATATTGGAACAGGACACAAGGAGCGATTCATGCTGCAGTTGCTGCAGCAGCGAATGCAGCAGCAGCAGCTGGTGCAGCAGAAGCTGGAGGTAAGGCTGTTGCTTGACTTCCTGCGTACTACGAGGCCAGACCGGGCAGGAGACTGCCCAGCGTCTCTTCTTCAGCCACTGCTGTCTGAATACCCTGTAGGGTCTTTGAACAGCACATGTCAAGTCTCCCTCTTCTGCAACCCCCTAACGTGCAGTAACAGCAGCAGTACCAACAGCCTCAGCAGGCTGCAGGCACTGCTGCGGAAATATCTTTTTAGGACTTTGGGTCATAGAGCGCGTGAGGCATTGGGTACACAGCACATGAAGTGCTTAGTGAGTGATGACCTGCTTTTGCTAACGGGGGCCAATCTAAGCGATGAATACTTCGGGAAGAGAATAGACAGATGTTTTGTCCTGAGGTCTAGGGCCTTGGCGGATGCAGCGGACAGCCTAATTGCTGCTGCAGAGGCGCACTCCTTCAAGCTTTTGCCGTCGAAACAGTACAGCCAGCAATGGCGGCGGCAGCATGAGCCTACTCAAGGAAGAATAGTACAAATGGGCAAAGCCGTCTGTTGGTGGCCGCCAACGAACCCTTCAGAGCCACCGCAAACGAATCCCGAAATGTTCTGCAGCAGCCTGGCGAACTCACTCGCAGCAGCCCTCACGAGCACAAACGCCATTGCCAGCACCAGAAACAACAGTTGCAGCAGCAGCAGCAGCAAAAGCCTGAAGAGTGTAAATGGCAATAACAACTTCCGCGACAACGATGAAAGCAACAGCAAGGGGTGCAGCAGTAACTACATTGGATACAGCAGGCTCAACAGTAATACTGGTAGCCTGGATTATGAGATGTGTTTGGTGTCTCTGACGGTGCAGGCAGGCTTTGTGCGCCCACCTCTCAGAGGCCAAGAATGGATGCTTCAGAGAATTTATGACATCGCCGCAAACTCGCTTGCTGCTTTGGGTGGTTCAGCTGCACCAACAGCGGCAAACGGCGAATATGTCTCAGCATGTAGAGGTCTTCAAGTGGCCCTTGCTTCCCCTTACTTGAACTTCCCAGTTGCCTTCTTGCGTAGGCTGCAACAGCTGCTACAGCAGATGCGTCTTTCCTCTTCCTGTGCAGTCTCAGCTCGTGGCAGCTACAACAGCAGCAATGACAGAAGTACGTGCAGCAACGAGTCTCGTCTAGTGGTTGTAACGGCCTCGCCGCAGGCCAACAGTTTCTTCAACTCGCGGGGCATTTCTTACTGGATACCACCAGCCTACGCAGTTGCTGCCTATGAAACAGCTGTGGCTCTGGAGGACTCTATCCAAGCATCGGGAGCAACGCGTCCGAATGCTTTTTCAGATGTGAAGATGAAGCATGGCCCCGACGACAATCTGCTGCTTCTTGAGTTCGCGCGGCCAGGGTGGACATATCACGCTAAGGGCATTTGGATCTCACCAACTACCTCAGCAGCTGCCAACAGGAGCACCACCGGGACAAAGGGGAACGGTAGCAATGGGCCAGCAGGCACAACTTGCCTAGGCCTAGGCACCACTCGCGCGTTGCTGCAGAGCACTCTCAGCGGCCCTCCTGCCAGCCCTAACAAAAGCAGCAACTGCGACAAGGGTTGGGCTGCAGTGTGTTTGCTGGGCAGCTCGAACTTGAGCGTGCGCTCGAGTGAGCGGGACTTGGAGCTGCTGTGCATGCTCCGGACACGCGACAAGCAGCTGCAGAAGCAGCAACAGCAGGAGCTTACTCAGCTCCTGTTGCCTTTCTGTCATCCCCTAGACAGGGCAAAACTCATCAAGAGATTTCCTCCGTGGCTGCACTTCGCTGTTCAGCGCCTTGGGCTCAATTCTTTTCTGTGACTGCTGCTCCGCCTCACCTGATTCAGTCTTCTTGGCGGCGCCCTTGTTGCCGTTAGTGTGGGCGCCTTTTTTCCAAGGTCCAACAGTCGCTGCTACAAGTGTTGCCGATGGAGCTTCGTGAGCAGCACCTGCAGCTCCACGGTGTTGCAGATGCGGTTACAGTTTCTGTTGCGGCTGCCGTTATTTTCGGTGCTTCATCCGCTCCTGCCACTGCTGTCCCGTATCTTTTTTTGTTCTGGCTACTAATGCTGCCGTTTTCATTTGAAGCTGTAGCTGCCTGTAGCCTTTCTAACTGTACGGCTAATAGTCGTGAACCGTTGAAGTTGAACGCGGCATCAACGAGAAATAGAGTAGTGCAAACGGACAAGGAAAGAGCGACAGTTCAGAGGCAGAAAGAACTGAGAAGCGAAGATATCAAGTTGACGGAAACGCCGGAAGGGTGATGCGGATTTACCTATCCTACAGGGACAGAGACAAAACGAAAGTTTTGTCTTTCGTCGTGCTCAAAAAGTCACCTTTGGCGGCTTTTGCGGGAGTGTGATGGTGGGGACACCTGAAGTTGCCGCTGTTCTTGCTTTAAAGGTTCTGAGTCGGTCCTCCAGTAATTAGATAAACTGCTTGCTGAAGCCTTTGGCACACTCCTCTTTGTGCACGTGGCTGCTGGTGTTGTTTGTGCCACTGCCAGGCTGCTCCGGCAGCTGTCTGCAGGTGATGTGCTGCTACTGCTGATGCTGCTGCTTCCGCTACCGCTGCTTTCTGTTGAAGGGGAGCTGTTGAGGCATCGACGCTGGCCCTGCAGAGCCTTAAGCCTCTCGGGCTGCACCAGACACACCAATGGACAAGTATGAGGATATATCTATATGCCTATTTACATAGTGTATATAAAGATCGCGTACATTTGTACACATTTTGCACACGATTGTGCGTGGAGCATTTGCATTGTAGTGTATGTGCAATTGCATCGGCACATTTATTCTCGATAAATTTAGGGGCCATACAATTGCTGTTTCTCACTGGCACGACTTCTCTCATGAAAACGTCCGGGTGTTGAGGGTCCTCCAACTTAGCGAAATTCACAACGCGGCATGCGCGCACAGGATTGCGACGCAGGGGCTGCGCGTAGGGCTTTTGCTGCTGCTGTTGCAGAGGCAAACGGCAATTTTGCCTATCCTGCGGCTGGCACTTCGTGGCGACCTTATGGCTGGGGATGAACTGCGCTGCAGCGGCATCGCTCATGTCTAACGCATGAGCAGAAGGAGAAACGCCAGCAGTCACGGCAGTAGCGGGAGCGTTGAGATCAGAAGGAACTGTAGCATCAAGGCGGTCCTCGTCGGAGTCGGTGCTGCTGCTGGAAGTTGGCGGCAGATAGGACGGGTCCGCTACCTCTCCCTCGTCTTCATTGTTTTTCCTTGATTGTTCACGTAGACCCTCAGGAAGTACAGTACAGCGTCCTTTCTGCTGCCAAATAAATCTGCGGCTGGAACTGCTGCTCTCACGTTTCAAGAGTGAGCTGGCGGATCGGGCAGTAGGGAAGAACGATCCCTCTGCCTCCCTGGTGCTCCTGTCGCCACTACTGGCCTTGCTACTTGCTGCGGGATGCGCATTAGCTCTCACAAGGCTCCAGTAGTTCAGCGGAGAGGCCAGCCGCTTCCAGGCTGCTGCCGTTGCCCATGCAGCAACGGACACTGCACCGGTGAAGGCCGCTGCAAGGACAGGAGCTATCAGCCGAGCTGTCCAGAGTAGCGAACGGCGTGCCAAGCTCTGCCGCTGCTGCCGCAGTTGCTGCTGCTGCTGGTGTTGCTGCAGCAACTGCCTCTCGTGTCTTTCTCGCAGATGAATCCTCTGCATTTCTTCATCTTTGGATGTAACACGCTGAAGCAGCTGTTGCAGCAGCTGTTGCACCTCCTGCATTCTTGGGTCGCCTGCTGCTTGCACTTCATGCAGCTCCTCGCGGACCCAACACACTTGCTGTTGCAGTTGCTGCAGCTGCTGCTGCATTTGTTGCTCTGGGCTGGTGTAGTGTAAAAGGCAATGCAACCACACCCAGCAACATGTAACCAAGCAAGTCCAGCGCACGAAAGACACCCCATAAGCAGCAGCAGCACCAGCAAGAGCCGTAGCAACGAAAAGACCTGCGTCGCAGGCGACTTCTTTCAAGAAGTTCAGCGTGCCACTGCTACTTTCCTCCGTTGCTGCAGGAGCTCGTGGTTTGTACTGCGGCTTCGTCAACTGGCTGAGGAGAGGGGATATGCCCCCGTGGTGCAGTGCCATCTCAGCAGCAGCAGCAGCCGACAAGATGCCGAGCACCCCCAGCCGCGCACCAGAAACCCTGCGATTAGAAGTGAGGAAAAGAGCGGCAGCAGCAGCAACAAGATAAAGAGCAACTGTTTCAGTACCTCCAAGCCACTCACCCACAGCCTTGTGAAAGGCCTTCAGCTGCTCCAGCACTGCGAAGGAGTCCTCTAACCCTTGCTGCAGCTGCTGCAGGAGTTGCTGCATGTAGTTTCCACCTTGCAGCTGCTGCAGCTGTAGTTGTTCTTGCAGCTTCCCCATATGTTCCAGATGCTGCAGCTGTTGCTGCATGCTAGCAGTGGCTGCGGCGGAGGCAGCAGAGAGACGTACAGTAGCCTCTTCAGTCCTCCGCTGTCTCTCTGCACTGTGTAGAAAGAAGCAGATATTGTCTGCGGAAATCAGCAACAGTGGCAGCAAAAAAAACGAAGATGACGGAAGCAGCAGGAACGGCAGTAGTGGCGACCACAACAGCAGCAGCAGGAGACTAAGGAACAAAGGGGCCACAGCCTGAGTCCCCACCAGGCGCCCCCGAAGCACTGATGCATAGTCGAACTCTTCATCGCACGAACTTCCCAGAATCAGCCATCCCAGCACCACCAAGAGGCGAAGCAAGCATTGGCGCTCACGGGAGCAACTGCGGCAGGAACTGACCAATGTGATTTATTTGCTCCCTCACAAGAGCAAAAGTTCCGAAATCCATTTTGCTATGCTGCTGACAAGCAGCAGTCTGCCGGCGAGTCAGTGCTATGCACCGCCGGTAAAGTTGCTGCTGCTGTTGCTGCAGCCGGCGTAGTTGCACCAGAGGCGAGACAGCTTCTGCATGCATCAAGTCCATCATCTTGGCAGCTTCGCCTGGAAATCTTGTTGATTCACTCTCGAGCTTCTCTGTGGAAGTGTCAAGGCCTTCGTCTTGATCCTGATTCTCCTGTTGCTGCTTAGCGTATGCCTCGCTCCACTCTCCCTCCAGATTCTGCTGCATCTGCTGAAATTGCAACACTTGCTGAGCCTGCTGCACTTGCTGCAGCACGTTGTTGAGCTTGACGCATGGATGGCTAACTGCTGCATCTACTGCAGCAGCACCTTCAGCGATGCCAGCTTGTCCGTACAGACCTGTGGAGAACAAAGGATGCCAAAAAAGGCAGCAAAACAAAGGAATGAGGGAAATAGAGACAAGACCGGGCCTGTTTATTACATGGCATTTGCTCTTTCCCGTGAGATGCAGGCATTGCCAAGAAGTATGCGAAGGGATAACGTAAGCAGCATCACTCAGACTCTGACAGCCATGAGATAAGAATGGCAACACGTACGACACACCGATCCAGTCCAAAGGGACTTCATGCGGGAAGAGATAACAGCCCTCAGCAGGCCCCGGAAAGGGGCGACCGCTTCGGGCGTAAATACACCTCATCCTAGTCAAGGCAATCAGTTCTCTGAAGGCTTCTCCCCTGCTGCTACATGCATCTTCATGTGTCTGTTGCTGCAGCAACAGAAGCTGCTCGCTGACTTGCTGCCAGCAACTGCTGGCAGCCCCCTCCTCTGATGACTCTTTCAAAAACTGACTGTACGCAGCGGCACCGAGACGAATCGCTTCCTCGCCATCTTCTGCATCGAAAGCTGCTGTTCCTGCCCCCAATGCAGCTGCGACAGCTGGTGCAGCTGCTTTTCTCAGGTCCAAACATAGGGCTGCAGCTGCCACTAGCAGCTGCGGCGGCAGCAGCAGCTGCAACAGTAGCAGTAGCGGCAGCGACAGCAGGTAGTGCTGCATTGCTCATCCTATCCACATCAGGAGTCATTTCAAAGATTCGTATTTCATTATCGTTCTTATATCGGTCACTGAGGGCCTGAAATGTTGCTTCCTCTGAATCCTTGCAATTTCTTCCCGGCGTGTGAAGCGCGGAGGAAAGGGCCACCTGAGCGCCGCCACCCCACTGTCAAACAATATTGAGGCTAGTGCATGAGTGTCCGTATTTCTGAAGCTATGTAGCGTTTTATTTTTGCTTTTATCCTCTTCTCACTGCGGTTGCCCTTAGTGCCAGCTTTCTTTTTCCGAATGGAAGTCACTGGGGCTCCGCAGCCCCGGAGCCATGCCAGATAGAGAGCGCATGTGTGAAATACCCACAACTAATGCTCCGACAACACAAAAAAGTGCTGAAAAGTGAATTTAATTTTTATTCATGATAAAGACTAGTTTTTCATTTTATCGCTCAGCTTCTCGCTTTTTTGTGCACGTGCAGTTTCATTGTTGCCAGACCTGACCAATGGTGACGCTGCCGGTCTTCGTGGGACCCCAAACAAATAAGAAAATTAAGTGGATTTTCTGTTGTAATTGCAGACCTAACTTATCATATAAATTTCATGTTTAATTCAGTCTTCACTTAATTAGCATCGCACTGAACTTCCCTCGGTCCTCTGATTGTTAAACACAGAGCGGCGTGCAGGCCCCAAACATTAGCACCAGAAGGTAATTCAAGCATGTATATCCCCAAACAGAGTAGGGAGAATAGCTCATTTCATTGTGTTTAAACCATATGTGCGCCGGAACCAATTCTGTCGTGTATCTCGGTGCCGGTGATACCTTTGCCTGCTTCTCCCCTTCTCCTCACCAGCAATTGAAATTGTTTAATGAGGAAAAAGCACTGCATGATGCTTGTAACCCTAAAACTGAGTGGGGCACTTGCTCATTGCTTATTTCTTACCGTTCCACAAGTTCCTGCTCTGCTTCCATCCCGCTTTTGATGTTCTTTCTGTCTCCCCCACCTACGCCGACACCCCGTTGGAAGAAGCATCTATACCACTCCACTGTGGACAGCGCCGCCTGAACAATCAAGAAATGGCCTCTGTAGAGCCACCCCCACCTATAGATGCAGTTCGTGGGACAGCGCAACATGGCGCAAAGAAGTGCGCCATCCTCCACTGTTTCCTACCCGTTTTCCCCCTTCAGGCACGGGACAATTCACCGGCGTAACGGCATAATAAAACGCAAAACATCTTTTAAGATAGAAAAACACGTGGTCCCAACCGGTCTCGAACCGGCGACCTTTCGGTTATTAGCCGAATGCTCTAACCAACTGAGCTATAGGACCTGGAGCAGGTACTTTTCCTTTTCCCCAATTTTTGAGACATGCATGCAATTTCATCCCATCCCTATCGCTCAATTGCTGCACAAGCGCGCCCTGCCAAGTGCCGCATGCAAGCGTGCTTCCATGTGCGCATGTAAGCATGTATGGTTCTACGGAGGCTGCTGTGGACGCATCCATGCACCTACTCGAGTATGTATCCGTGCGCACGTTGTTCCTCTCAGAAAAAATGCGCACGCTTTAGTTCACGCACAAGTTACTGCCAGGCAAACGATGACACAGCAAAAGGAGAAACACACTCTCCCGCTCTCACTGGGGAGGTGAGTGTGATCCTAAACGCACAAACAGCGGCCTCGGCACTGCGGCCGACGGACGCCGGCCAGAGTAAGCGATAGCGGGCCAGACAGTCGAAGCACTCGTCGAAGTGAGCCCTCGCCTAGCCAGAAACAGGCAGCGGAAAGCCATTTCGGGGCAGTGGACAGCTAAGCAGAACTCAATGCATTCCCGAATTGGGCTACACCTGTCTGTACTGCTTACGTCAATTGAATCCCAACTACGCATGCTTGTTGTATGCTGCAGTTTCTTCCCAGTAAGAGTTTGTACGCTGCACCTCGGATGTATCGACAAGCAGGAGGACCCTGTCCTCTTCATTCCGCGTTCCCCTTATGCCCATAGATTCAACTATGCAAGTACATCGTAAACATGAGCAGGCTAATGGTCAAAAGCTTAGGTCAAAAGCATTTTCTGTACACTTGTCCCTGCTCCGACCTTTAGCCACTGATGAGGCGTCTGTGATTGTCCCCTCCTGCAGCTGCATCAGGATTGTCTCAATATTGCATGCTTGAGGATCGCTGTGGCCTGATTGTCTACCCAACAAAGTATTCCAGTATCAGTAGCTTTCTTGCAACAAGAAAAGCCGATCCGCATCTACCTGGCAAAAACCTAACACGAAAGGGACCAAGTGAAACCTTGTGGCCCGGCTGCTCCGCTGCTGCTTCGTTGCGTCCAGCGCACCACTGTTGGCCAATGAGTAAACGGTCTTGAGAAAGCAGCCTTAGAGAATACCATCGCACTAAATACTATAGTGATAGTTGTTCCTCGCCTCCCAAAAGCCGCACAGCGCTGCGAGGCGTTTCCCGCAAAATAGTCAAAAGCAAAACCCGCCCTCGTATGTCCAGCAAAAATCCGACTAGTCGTGGGCACCTTTCACGAGCCACTTACGGCCCTTGTGTATGTGGTTGCATAGGGTTTCCTTCCCAGCGTCTCTCCAAGAGTCCTTCGGAAATCCCCTCATATCCTTCTGCATTCATCCGATGCATTACTTTAAAGAAAGTCTCTAGTCCCGCCAGGCGCAAAAAGCGAGGCGCAACCAAACTATTTGGCAGCATAACAAACACAAAGGCGACAAACTGTCAATGAACAGAGTCGCAGCAGCAGCGGCTGCTGCTACTCATGTCAGAGTCAGTATATGACGACGTGAGCCTCTCGAGATAGAGACGAGGAATACCCGTACGACACATACTTTAAATGTATTGTCAACACATCGTGGGCATGCTTAGTCTCTGTCCCTGCCACAGGTCAGACCGTCGTCGTCTTCGGTTTGAGGTATGTCTCATCTGCTGCTGCGGTCGTTTCTGCTTGCCTCAGTGCCTCCATGTGGCGTTTTGTCCGTGTTTGTCATTTATCGTCTGTCGCCGTCTCTGTCAATGTCTCCGTCTCAGTCTCTGTCTCTGTCTATTTCTGTCGCGTGGGTGCCCCTGTTTTTGTCTCCTCCTGGTGCTCTTCTGTCTCGTTCATCTGGTTTATGGCTTCTATACCGGACATCCTTTCCCGCACGCTCGTCTGTGCCTCGTCCTACTGACTCACCTTCCCAGTCCCTGTTTCCTCCGCTACCTTTTCTTCTTTGTCGAGCCAACACACTGACCGCTTCTCTGTCACCCTCTATCCTTTCCTTCGTCTCTCTTCCCTCCTCCCGGTTGCGCGCGTTGTGCCGTTCATGTCCGGTTCTGCTTTGGTCTCGGTTTCGCGGAACTTCACTTTCTTCGTGTCTGTCTCTCTCACGGTCTCTCTCAACCTGTGCTCCTCGCCATCCGTCTCTTTCTCGCGGTCTCTCCCTCTCTGCACCTCGGTACATATCTCTCCTTCCATACGGGTCCCTCTCACTCCTGTCTTCCACTCGGTTTCTTTCCCTGTCCCTTGCTCTTTCTGGTTCTCTCTCTCCGTACTTGTTCTTGTCTCTGTCCTTGCCATCTGCTGTGTCCCTGTCATCTTTGCCTCCATGCATGTCTCCTCTGTCTTCTCTTTGTTCTCTCCCCCTGTGTCTGTTTCCCGAACTCTCTTCTTCATAACCGTTTCTACTCCTTTTTCTGTAGCTATCCGTCTCCCTGTCTCCCTGTCTTCCCGCCAATGCCCCACTATCTCTGTGTGTTTCCTGTTCGGACTGGCGGAACTCTGCCTCTCTCCCTGCGTCCCGCTCAGAAGGCTCAGCCGCCCCCCTGCGCCTCTCCTCCTCCTCCACTCCTCCGATCTTGCTCTTGCCGCCCCTTCTATTCTCATCATATTTCTCTCTACTGCTTTCACTGCTGGTGCGGCTGAGACTGCGTCTGCTGCGTGCCTTACCTAAAGTGCGGTTGTAAGTGTCTTCTTCCTCCGAGAGCAGCGGGCTGTTGTCCGTCCTAGATGCTTTTTGGCCTTCTTTGTACGCCTGAGTCTCAGATGCTCTGCGCATCTCGTCTCTCCTCTCCTTTTCTCGCACTGCCCTTGCCGCCTCTTCTGTCACTGACCGTAAGGAAGGCCGGGAAGAAAGCAGTTCTTTCTTTATTTCCATGGCCCCTGTCTTTTCTTCTTTTTTCACTTGAGTCTTCACGCGGGCCTTGCCGCGCTTGCTCTCGTTCTCACTCCTGCTGCTGCTGTCGCTGTCGCTGTCACTGCTGCTGTCGCTGCTGCTGGTGCTATCGCTGCTGCTGCTGCTACTGCTGCTGCTACTGCTGCTGCTACTGCTGCTGCTGCTTTTCCTCAACTTCTTTGTCCTTCTGCTCGCTTTTCTGGCATGTTCTTGCCTCTTTCTACGTTCTCTAAGCTCTTTGATTGCAGCCTTGCGTTCTTCGATCATACGCCTCTTCCTCTCCTCCCACTCCTTCTGCCTCTGTAATTTGAGCTCCTTCTGCTTCTCCCAGTTAAAGGCCTCACCGACCTTGTGATTACTGCTCAACCCCAGGGCCGAAGCGACTTGGTCCAGCTGGCGCTGCTTCCAAGCAGCGCCTTCGTGTGTGTCTAAGTTGGTGCCAAGCTGCAACAAACTGCGCCCGAAGATGCCTTCTTGAGTCCCTAGGCGGTTGCCTAGCCTTTGGCTTTCGACACGAGCTTCTCGAGTCAACTGTGAGCGGAGCACCTCTATCATTTTGTCTATGCGAGACTGCATGAGACCCTGCTCCTCAAGCTTGGCTCTTTCCTGCATCAGCTTCACCTCCACACGCCGCAACTGCTCGTGAAGCAGCAGGGCAGGGTCAGCCTGCCGCACCTTCGGCTGATCTATGGGCTTCTGCCCTAGTTGTCCAAACTGAGGCATGTCCGTTCGTCTTGGCCGTAGGTAGCCCAAGTTCCGCTGCACGTAGCCGTTGGTGCCGCTCCCGCGAGGGGTCGGCAAGCCGATATTGTTGTACATAGTGCCGGATATAGACTCAAGATGGGGCAATCAAGGGTAAAGATGTGAAACAGCACAGAAAACAAAAAATGATGGGGAAGAAATTACGAAGGTTGGCAGGCCCAGCGTACACTGCACACTCTAGTTGGCAGATCACCTGCTGAAGGGCAAACCACAGGTAGGCTGCCAGCCTTCGAAGCAAACGTACACCACGCTGAATGAATCTGCGAATAATACATTCATGACATCCAACAACGGAAAGGCGCAAACCAACAAGACCGTTGCCAAAGAGAAGAGACCCTGGAGCCTGGGTAGAGCTGCCAAGTACAGCCAAAAGGGAACAAGGAAGAAAAAGATGAGAGGGAAACAAGAATAAATAGACTAAAATACTTGTATTTTATTATTCCTTCAAGGAGAATAAGGCAGGGAGCTAGAAACCAAGCAACAGACAGGACCGAAAGCGCATGCATTTGCGTTCTAAACTGAGCGGATCAGCCCCAAGATGTTGCAAATTGTTTGAGTCCATCCATTGTGTAACATAAAACTTGATGTACGATTAACTAATACGTTTATAGAAGCTGTTTGGTGATCCTATGCAATTCAACAGAAGAAACAGAATCTGCAGAGAGCCCACCAACCTTGCTGTACTGCGCTCATTCCTGTTCTGCTTAAGTCTCACGATTGTCATCGCCTCAACAGGTCCAACCATTGACCCTCAGGCGCTATTGCACCATAGTACACAATAAGAAATACGCTTGAGGGGCCCTGTACAGATAAGAGAAGGATCAAGTACGATAGCTAAGTGGCACGGAGCGCAAAGTTGTATCCCTGGGTGGAGAAAGTGGGGCAGTGTGCAACACAAGCTGTATCCTTGAGAGGAGAGAGTGGGACGGTGTGCAACACAATGCTCTAAAGTGTACTATATATATGGCGCTTCTTGTGCCCTGCTGCACAACCGGGACCAGGTTGGGTAGGTGGCGATCACACTCAAAGTGTCGGCTTGGAGACCTAGCAAAGTACAGAACAACTTTGCTTTTCCCCAGTAATCAGGCACAGAATTTGGGTCTCAGAATCAGGGTGTCCGACTTCGTACCCAACATGCAGAGCCTTCTTCCTGGTTAGTCAGTATTTAGCAGTAGTTGGCTTCGAGTGTGTTGCTGCACGTGATTACAAATATGTTGCTTTTGCATGGCGTTTTAGTCACAATCAAGAGCTGCCAATGTCAAAGCATGATACCGAGATCACCGAGGTGAACTGAACTGGAAAGGCACTTTGCCTCCGCCATTGCCGCTGAGGCTAGGTAACCAAACTAAATTGTATAGCGGTATCTGACAGTATTTCTCCGCTAGTTTAAAGGAAAGTTATTCTTGGCGTGCGAAGCTTTGGCAAAGTTGTTGTCAACCAGCCCTGTGTGTTCCCGGAGTGACCACGTCTTTCACTTATCATGAGACTAGCTTCCGTGCGTGAGACGCTAGAGAGGACTGAGTACAAACCAGCAGCTGAGTGGCTCTTGTCACGGCGAGCAATCCTCTGCAGTGGCTGCCCCATCCTTCATGCGGCGCCGCCACTAAAAAAAAAAGTCCGTAGTCTACCCAGGCTGCCGCAGATGGACGGCAGTTAGAACTGCATGTGCAGTCCTGCTGTGTGGCAGGATAGCAGAAGCACTGAAAGCCCTGACGGATTTGGCTGTAGCTTGCACAACAAGTTAACAGATAGTACAGAGCTCTGCGAAGATTCTGCTTAGAGCCGTATAGAGGAAAAGTGTTTGGAGGAGTCACAATCATTCACACTGAAACACTAAACTAGGAACGTCCGGAATCTTCCCTTCGGTTCACTTGTGGCGCGTTCTTGCCAAGTGGCGCTTCGCTAAACTCCATCGCTTCGTGGCAGCAACACTATTCATGACGGCAATTCTGTTGCAAAGCGGAAATAAACATCACGTCTACGACATTTCGGCTGGTGCATAGAAGATCACGGCTGACGTGGTAGGATTCTGCCCTCGGCCGGTCAGGTGGAGGTTTATATCGGGAGCAAGCATTAGGCAGCTCTTAATACTTCTTTCTTCTTAGCTATTTTAGCGTGTTGGTCCTAGACATGATACATATGGAGGCTACACTACTGTGGAGCTGCTGTGCTAATTGCAGAACGTGCAGTGGATTCCTCTACTGTTGGCATTTTTGCTGAACTTTTGCGGGCGCCTCCAGCTGTCACAGGGCCGTTGTTAAGGTTTGCCCCCTCTTTTGCGGATTCCCGTCCTTCTAAAGGTACCAGGATTATAATTAAGCGTAAAATTTAGCATTTTGGGTGCTAAAAGTGACGAAATAGTCCCGGAATACACCCCAGTGGTAGTAAGCTATGGCCAGTTTCTTCAAAGCCTGAAAGCCCGCTACCTGAGGTGCCCATACGTTATCTGCGTTGAGCTCAAGCTGACACTGGACAGCTCAAAACTTAGGCGTTTGCAGCCTGCACATTTTAAGCCGTTGAAGGGAGAGTGGGTTTCAAGCACGGCAGCCAATGATGCGGTGCTTGCCTTTCGTTGCTTTTAACACCTAGTCCCAGGTCACAGTGCTCAGCTTAGAGAGATGAGCCACCACGCAGCTGCCGCTTCTCTTGTAGCTACTGTCGCTACAGTAAGTCTACAATTTTTTCTGCTCAAGCTAAAAATCTACGGGGATGTTGGGCACCGCTGTGTCCAGTGCCCCTCAGCATGAAATGTATTGCTTCAAAGCTAGCGAAGAAGTGCTGCTACCCTACCACACCGAGGATTTTTCGCAGTATTGTTCTAGCCAAATAGATGTATTTGTCCCGTTGCCTTGTTCGCAAAACGAAATTGCGCACGACTCCGCAGGCTTCAATGGTCAGGTTTGACAGAGATTCAGCTCTTAGTAAAGCCTGTGGGCAGCAGATTATTTCTAACTTACCAATAAGTTGTATACAGAGCCCCACGCTCTATGATATACCTGCGCACAATCAATCATATGGGGCAAAATGGAAGAGCGGCAGGCAAGCAAAAGAGTTACCTTTCGCAGATTCAGCCCTAGTAAGCACGATATGAGAGCTGTCGAATTAGTGCTGCTCTGCAGCCCATATAAAGTACAGTTAGTTTTTTTCGACGGCTCTCTAGCTCGCACTTTTCTCGTTGCTCTGTGTTGTTCAGTGCAAAAGGGTCCAAGAGGAACATCCAGGCATACCCTAGTTTGATATCACTATTTGAAATAAAGCAGGGATGAACCCTTGTCTTCTGCTTTACTCTAACACCAGCAGAAGCGGCTTGGAAACCGGAACTGGCAGCCGACGATGCCTAGCTTGCCTGCGCAGGTTCTGTGTTGGCTGTGTGATATTTCACCAACAGACAGCCCATCAAGCTCTCATTTTAGATCTCACGAGTTCAGCTTTTTGAATAAAATTGGGGGAGCGGTACAAAACTGTGCTGCAGTGGACTGTAGCAGCTGCCAGCCGTGCTATGTCGCATGCCTATAGAGCTTCATTGACGTGTTCGACACAAATGAGCAAAACTATGTGGTCAATTTTTTAATGATTTTATTTGAAGTAATCTTCTTATTCTCCGGCTGGGCCCCATTCTTCCTTCAGTGGCATCGGCAGCTTACCAGTTAATACAGCTTCACGCTGTCGTGGGCCACCAGCGCCGATGATCTGCCCTTCTCACTGGACGTGAGCTTGTTCGCAGCATTTCTTGCTATTGGGCAGATATAATTGATTACACTCTGTCAATGTGACTTTCTTTAATTCCACGCAACGCCCAAAACGGCGGTTTTCCCGTTCCGCTGCCGACAGGACCGCTGGAGCCTGCGCAGGCGGCTGTCACTCTACTATCAAAACACACCGCCGTCCTTCCTGAGCTCGCGTACACTCGCTACTTAAGCATTTCTAGCTTCGTGGCACAGCGGGGACGAACGGTGGTTCCTCCGTGGAAGAACCAACGCTAGCTGACAGCCGGCCTCCCCCGTCCTTTCGGTTTTCTGCTGCGCCCATGACCTCGTCAGCGGAAGACATCTTTCGAAATGCTGGTTCTGCTGCATCCAGCCCAGCTAGGTTGGAACCTTCTTCCACGGCCACGACTCTTGCGGGCGCAAAGCAAACGCTGGAAAGTCGCCGGACGTCGGAGTCTTTTGCCGACATCTTGGGGAGAGTTGAGGCCCCTTCATCGCTAACAGACAAAAGCCCTGTCTCGCAAAACTGCTCAAGCCATAGGGCGCCAAATAAGGAGCCATTCACAGCAGCACAGGAGCGGGGAAGGATTCAACAGTCATCATTTCCATGTCAAATACCTCAAGAGGGCGGGGGCCCAGATGGCGACGTTGCTGCCGCCATCTCAAAATTGAAAAGGAGAACGCTTGAAGAGAAACGGGACATATCAACAGACACTTCTGCCTCTCCATTTGAATTCGTGGCTGGACATGGCAGTTCTTCTCTGGTGCCTGAGGGCGTTTGCGCTGTAGGAGAGGGCACACTGATACAGCAGGACAGCTCCCTCTTGGCTGAAAATGACATGTATGAAATTGTTGCAGCTTGCCAAAAAACAAGTGATATGGCTACTGCCGAACTACTGCGTCACGGGGGTTCAGGGAGCAGTACATCAACAACAAGACCCTTCACGACGCTGGCGTCTGGCATCAGTGAAGATCCCTGGACAGTCCCACCCGTTGCAAACGCCGAATCGGCAGAAGCAGGTGCGACTGCAACAGCTGCTTGCCAAGTGGCTGATGGCTGCGATGTAGGTGAAATCTGGGCTGAGGCGAATGACGGCGATGACTCACAATGGCCGTTTGAGAGCGGGTTGAGGCCTTGGGAAGACATCGACAAGGAGACGCGCAAAGCTGCCGAAGGGGTCAGCAGCAGCCAGCTGGAGGACCACAAGAAGATACGCATTTGGGTTCTGCACAAGGTAATATATGTCAAATTTTGCCCGCGCATGACTACAGTACTTGTGCACACATACCCTGATTTCAGAAACTGGCTCTACTCCAACAATTCAGCCAGGCACCTGCAGTTCTCATATCTGTGCATTGAAGTGTTTTGATTTTTATGCGGCACTTCACCAGTTGCTGCCATTTCCCTTCATCATGTCTTCCGAGCGGGGAGAGGCTGAGATGCATCGGTGCTTTGTTTTTGTCGTGCTTCCGTGTGCGTGCACGTTTAGGGTGTATGCACACCCGTGTCCTGGTACGTGGACACAAGTGCGGAGGACGTCAAAGCTTCAGTGCTTTGTGCCTGCGACGTCTTGGCCGATGAGGGAGTGGACCCTGACCACCCGAGCGCCGAGGCGAGTTTCTGTCTTAGGCCAATTCGACCTCTTCCGGACTCGTGCGTAGTTCCCCTCCTCCCCTGGAAGCTGTAGCAGCAACTGGTGAACTCTGGGCGTATTGCCAGGGCTACGTGCAGCGTAGCGGTGCTGCGGGAGAGGCCGAGCATTGCTGCTGCCGCGTACTGTAGCCCTCTCGTAGTTGGCAGCAATGCGAAGAGGCATGAGACTCACAATAGCTGTTTTTATTTATACTCTCAGGGCTGAGGTGGACGGGGAGGATCTCTTCATGGAGGTGAAGACCCTTCAAATGCGCTGCCAGCTGCCTTCCCCAGATTGCGAGCCCGAGGTGCTAGCGCCCCAGCCAACGGAAAATGCGGAGCGCCTTCTAGAGGAGACCTCCGTAGCTATAGACGGGGCAGAGAAGAGCGGGTCGGAGGAAGTGTCTGTACGTGTCATGCTGGGGCCTCGTGTTTACTCGAAAGACTTCCCAAGCCTTAAAGACGGTGCCACCTATCTCCTGGAACCTCGTCCCCTAGGTGCGGACGATCCTCAGCAAAAAGAAGAGCTCGCTAAATTAAGAAAACTCACAGGTGACAAGTGGCGCAGGATCTACGTCTCAGTTGACCCCCTTAGGCACATTGAGGCCCAGAAGGCGATCCTGCGAATGCGGAGAGGTAAGGAGGCTCACGCCGCCCTACGAGGCTCCTGACTTTACGTTCAGTCTCGGCAGAACCCATGTAGTTCCCGTTCGAAGCACGGTGGAAGCACAGCCATGAGGAATAGACTTCTAGGCCTTTTTTGGCTCTAAGTTTCTCAATGGATGCCCACGGCGCTAGAAGGATTTAGGCTTTGGTCGGGTAAAGCGGGTGCATGCACGAGCTGGACGATCATTGTGCATTGCTGCTGAACAGGGACGAATCTTCTGAAGCACACACGATTTGGGCATCCACATCTGCGTCAATTTCAGTTGTCTGCGGATCGGCAGAGGCTGCTTTGGTACTCTGCGAGCAAGGGGAAGGAGGCGTCTGTGGTGCAAATGGGGGAACTGGAGGGCTTGGTCTTGGGCCAAAAATCGGCGACATTTCAATCCTACCGGATTCCCGCCGTCCAGCACTTAAGCTTCTCGCTAGTCTTTAGAGGTGAAACTTCTCGGCCGGATTTTGCCTCTTCAGTTCTGCTCCCTGACGCATCTATAGAGGATGCTCGCACCCTCGACTTGACCTGCAAGGACGAGGCCGAATTCGAAGCCTGGGTCACAGGTTGCAAGGCTATCATTGCTGCCAGCAAGCATCTGAAGCTCTCCAAGCTGCAGCTACTCTCCCATTCAAAGAGATTTCTGTACGTCCTACGAGCAGCAGCAGAAGGCTGCTCAACTTTACCGTGTCAAGTGCAATGGCTGCACGCGCATGTATGCGTACGGGCAAACGCACCATGGCATATTTACAGGCTTCAAATTTACCTTAAGAAGTGCCTTAGCTCCCCTAGGCACAGTTGAAGAAAGCGACCGCACCGCTAATTCCATGTTGTTTGGGAGGGATAGGAAAGGCGGAGGTAGTTACCTCTCCGAGTTGCTGCTGCAGTTGCTGCTGTACTTTTAGCTGTTTGTTGCTTTAGGCGGGCATTACAGCGCAGCGAGGCAACAGTACAGTTGACGAAGCTTCCGGAGGAGAAAGGCCAGTCGGCCTTACAGGATTGTATGGACCTGCCGTGGCATCCATTGGAAGAACTCGAGCGGTGAATTATCACAGCTCCTCTGTCTTCCTACTTGCTCTAGAACTCAGTTGCAGTGAGTTTCCGTGGTCTGCTCGTAGCTACCTCGCTCTTTCTGTCTACTAACTGCCATTTGTTTTTTGGCGCGCAGGAAATACGAAGAGCAGAAGAGGAGGATTGACACTGCTGCCGAAGAGGTCAGCTGAGACGGACTGCATCCCTCAGGCACTGTTTTGCGTGACAAAGGCACTGTTTAAGACACAGTTTAATGACTACTTAAGCGTGTTGAATCCGCTGAGGAGTCTGTATGTTCTTATGATGCAGCCTACAGTCTGTTTTTTCTATTTTCCGGAGTGCATTGTGCAGTGTACGGCGTGCTGTGCGCAGCTTGTAGTGCCTCATATGTGTGCACTTATGCAGTGCATAGTGTGCAGTGCACATTGTGGAATATAGAATGTGCCGTGTACAGTGTATAGTGTTCCGGGTGAGACGCACCCGGTTCGATGCATTTCGTGTACTGCATGGCGCACCCTGTGCAGCGCGGAGCAGGCATTACCCAACTTGTGTGTAGCACTGTTGCACCTTAGTGTTTGCTTAAGAGGTGTTTAATCTATTGTATTGCAGATAAGGGCGTTGGACAGAACGGCGGTGGTTCGTTCGAACGTCGACTTGTCAGTCCTTGTAGGAGCAGTAAGTGCCGCAGCCAGCTCGCAGGAAATATATAGTGGTGGTTGTTCTGTCAGCGGTCCTTCTTAAATTTTTTTCGCAGTGGTAGCTACAGGAACCAGGGTCCATAGGTTCCACAGTTATGGTGTTATGAGGCTTTTTTGTGATGTTCGCTGGGAGTGCTGCGGACTACGAAGCTTCTTGATGATCGAATGGGACATGCTGAATCTTGGCCTCTATGCTATTCGCAGGGCCCGGCTTACGCTAGCGTCTTTGGGGACTCTGAGCAAGTGGACGACGAAGAGATGGAGTTTGAACGCATGCGGGAGCTGCTTTTTGAAGTGACTCAGGTGCTAGCCAAGGCCAAGGCTGAGCTGACAGGTATGCAGCGCCTCTCCGCACTACCTGCATCACCTTCAGTTAACAGTAGCAGCCAAGGGAGGTTACTGGTCTGTTTAAATATCTGCTTGACAGAGATCACACTCCGGCAGCGCACAGGAGATAAGACACGAGCACGTTGAAGAGAAGTGGTGTGCAGGAGTATCCAAGGGGAAGCACACACCTTCAAAACACGATTCCAAGGACACCGGGGAACCTGTGTAGCGTCGCGGTGCAGTAGCCAAATTCCATCTAGTTTTTCTTCATTTTATATTTGCAGTCCGGTTGACCAAAGTCTTGCCAAAGCCCACCGCATCAAGTGATGAGGAAGTAAGGTTAGGACTCGTAAAGTTCTGCATGGCGCCTGGACAGAAATGTGCTGTTGCTGCTGCAGAGTACAAGAAGGCAGAGGAGGAGCGGCAGCAACATTCTCGAGAGGGTGCAGCTGCGTCCATGGATAGCGCTGTCTCAGGCCCTTTCTATCCAGAGGCAGCAAAGGAAGATCCCTCATCGAAGGGTTCGCTGGACCACAAGCCTGCTGGTGGCTCCTGCGACTCATCTGATAGCCTCGTGAAGTCCTCTGTTCTCGCTATCTCCTCCGGGGGAGAAGTGCTCATGCGGTCGGGGGCAGCTGGGCTGACGTTCGAGGAACGTTTTAAGATGGCCGCCACTGTCAACTCTGTAGGCCTCGAGGTCGTACAGGAGCAGGTGAAGGAGGGCATTGTCACGCTGCTCCAACGTGCCGCTAATCAGACCGCAGAAGCCCAGCAGATCTTCACTTCGGCGCTCGCAGCGGCTGCTGCCGTCGTAGGTGTTGATTCTCCGCATCAAAGCGGACCACCGGACACGCTGCCTGTTGAGGACGTGAGCTTGCCATTGGTGGAGACCCCCACAGCCACTGCAGCATACAGTACACCACGTATCAGTGCCAACGCACAATTACACACTGTATTTATGCATGCGAATACGTGCATAGCCAAGCAGTAATAACGAGCAGGCGCTAGAGTCTCAAGCTCGCTAAAAATGAGGCTGTGTGCACTCTCATCTGAGAGTGTCTTGTCGTATTACCCGCATTACCTCAAAGCTTCCATCTGTTTTTGTGGTGTTGATGCTCTTTTTACTTATTCCTTGTTTTTTACCATAGCTAATTTGTGGCCTTGCTTTTTCGAGTTGCCAGTGTCGTGCCTTTTATCTGCCGGCTGCGAAGGTTGAGAAGCTGAAGTCCATTAATCAACTCCTCTGGAGGGCAGAAGTGGACGTGGAAAATGTGGAAGACATGCTTGCTAGACTGAAAGCTCCGAGTACGCTTGGGGGAATGGCCTTAGCCGGAACTGTCGCTAGTCTTAACCACATGGTGACGACGCAGCTCAGCACTTGGGGCGGTCAGGTGCGTCGGCCCGAAAAGTTTTTTGTGACCGTAATAGCACGTGCACTCGCCCTTAAGGTCGTGTATGTGTGTTTGGTATTCCACACAAATGTGTGTACTTGTGGGTTCGGGTATTTGTTCTCCTTTTGTGGCTCTGCCCAAAAGGCTGCTAATGACCTTAATTGCACCTGTACGCGTGTGTGTGTAGGTGTGTGTGTGCCATTCCACAAAAGTGTATGTGTGGTTCCGTGTATGTATAGTCCTGGTGTGCGTATGTGCTTGCGTGCCTTTGCCTGTTTGAACGTGTATGTGTTCATCTGGGTGCGTGTGTTGCTACTTGTTTGCGGTTCAGTGTACTTTGCTGTCTCTTCTCTGCAGAGGCAGCTACTTTGAACTTCGCCCTATCATTTTTGCGCCATTTCTCTGTTGCAGCTAGCCTCCATGGTGACAGACTTTTTAATGAAGGCTGAGGTTCCTCAACTGGGACTGCCCGCCCCTGCAGGGACCCAACGGCCACCTATCGCCTACTCCGATTCTGACTATGAGGATGAATTCAGTTGATATATTCGGCCGCTCGGTGGTACAGATGTGCTGTGCACATGCATAATGTAAGGGCGCAGTAATAGTCTACGCAAATAAGTGAGTATTCATACACTTCAATGTGCGCCTCGCGCCTTTCCAGCAGCTGAAAGCCACTCGTACTACTGACTTACCTTTCTCACCTGTCAAAATTCAGTAGAGATTTTTGGTAAGCATATGTACATGTACAGAAACGGAATCGATTGTAAAGTCAAAAGGAGGGCGCCACGAACACGTGGGTTTTTCTTCCTATGTTGCTCCTCCTCACGGTAGTTGACCCTCTGCCTCCAACGTGACAGAACAAAACCGGCACTGTCAATTGCTGTGTAGACAGGCATCTGCTACCGTCATAAAGAGCCGGCCAGGCGTTGTTGGACACTAAGTTGGCGCCTCAGCTAGCGTCATCAGGCATGACGTTGTAACTATGCTCCTCCCCTTGCCAGCTGTTCTCACAGGAAATACACATTGCAGTGAGGTGGCTGGCTGTATTTTAGGTTCTGGATTTAAAATGTAGGCTATCAAGCGCCAGATCGAATCTCCATGTGAATTCACACGGAATTTCGTGTGAAAATATGCCGCACTGCTGCACAAAAGTGTGTCAGCTTTCTGCCGCCCCTACCGATAAATGCACGTGATGAGCCCCTCAATTCGCTGCCGAAGAGTGGACGCGGCGGCTTTGATGCTGCTAGCCGCTAGACGGCAGGACACCTTGCGTGTGTGACTAGCCTAAAATTTGCTGTTCTCTCCAATATGCTACGAGTCGAAGTTTATGGTCACACCTGTGTACTATACATTCATTTGTGTACGTGCATCTTCAAGAAACTATATATGTAATCCTTGGGGGCTACAGCAAACATTTATGTTACGTTATGTGTGCAAAGCTTATCCAGCTGGCACGGCCGCATATGTGTGTCCACACATATGCGG